ACTAATTACTTATATGATAGCTCGTGACTCGTGAGTGCAGTTTCAAATCTGTCTAAGACCCGGTTTACACTAGAACGAAATTTTCCTGATTTGTAAAGTTATCCGGATTCATTGTTACACACATGTATTGGATTCGTCAGGTGTTTACACCACACTTTAGTTGTCTCTGTATGCGGATTTGTCCGTTTACACTCACATTACTTGTTCTTGGAGAATTGTTTGGTCGTTATATTCAATTTCTTCTGATTCGTCGTGCAAAGCGTTTACACAAGAAAATTTTCCGGTTTCAAATGTTTCTTGATACGAAGTTTCCACAAACTTTTACGGATTCAAAGTTTCCGGATACGGCTTAAAACCGAGTACATTTTCTATCGGATTCGTTGCTGCGTGTGTAAACAGCAACATGAATCCGGTACTAAAACATTCCGCTTTCGTGATGAATCCGGAAACTTTCGCTCTAGTGTAAACGGGGTCAGAGTGTAGCGAACTATGTATCCAAATTTTGTAATATTTCATTGATTTTATTTTGTTGTATAATTATAAAGTATACATATAGAAATATAATCAGGGTGTCAGTGTGTGTATATAAGATTGTGTCTCGGGTTCAAAGAGTCTTTGCTAACTTTTAGGGGTTATTAACCTTGATGCATCTCCTATTTTATAAAACCAAAAGAATATTCTGGCCTCCATATACAATCTTGGGAGCCAGTCATGCACTGGTGCATTGCTGTTGTGCATATATTCAGTAAGATCCAATTGTATTTAAAGTGATGCAAATTTCAAGCTGGGAATGAATTGTCCACCCACTTATCGATAGCGACGCCACTTAGGTGCGATGCATGCTTATAAACTATTCGGTTGAAGATTTGATATTTAAGTTGTTGCATTGTATCATAGCCACAGCTAAAAGAAAATAATGGCGATCAAAAATCGCTCCACGATATTAAAGAACTTCATTGCGTTGGGGAACATAACTATACGTCTTTTTAAGCTTCTGAAACGGGATGTAAATAAAGCTAGAGCCTTTACGAGGCATATCTGATGCCTATACGACCATTTGCCGATGACGTTGACTGTAAACGAAACGTTAACTGTAAGGTATTTAATATCAAGGATGAACTAAAAATAGTTCTCAGAAATGACAGCACTGCAAATTTATAGTATACAATTTCATCTAGAAGTCTTCAAAACCTTCTCATAAGTCAAAAGAATGATTGTTCCATTTCAATCAATTTGGGGTCGGTGGCTGTGCTTCAGTAAATAATGGCATAGTCCTTTACAAAGATTTTAAAATAATTTTAGGAACTAATCAAGGGGAAAAGTAAAAGAAATGGGAGATAAAGGAAGCACAGTTCCATCTAAAATGTGAGTTAAAATACCAAACGTTCATATATGGAATTTGGTACCATATTTTGGTTAGATATATTTAGTATCTATATATTGGTTTTTTCAGTATTCAGAAGGTGGATTTTCAAATATTAACAAACATATTGATGAATTAATAAATGTGTGCCGACAGTGAATCTCCGCATGACCTATATTATGAGGGGTCCCTGCTGTGACTTCTGCACTAGTTATTTTAGAAGTTATTTTTACATTAATCTAGTTGTACATTAAACACTTTAACGGAGAACCATAACCGATGGTGTGCCTACGGAATTGCTCTAAATCATGTTCTTGTCCCCGCAATACGCCCTGTTCTGGATAAAGAAATTTCAAAGGAGTACAATGACCTCGTATCAATTTATGGCATTAACGTTCAAACGAAGCACAAGTTTCCTTTTCCAAAATATCCTAGACATGCTTCACTGAAGTATGTGAACATCAATGGGAATGAAACGAAGAAAAAACCGCCCGACTATAAATGTCCTGATTACTCCACATTTGACTACAAAGTTACCTCGCATGTTGACTTTGGCAAGCTCTTTCTCCAGAATTACATGGCCAAACTTAGCGCGTTTGACGAAACGTGTGATGCATCTGCTGTGCTTACTCTGTTTGGAAAAGTCCCCGTTTTTTCTCTTGTTCTTCAAAACGCGGCAGATGTTGTCAGAGGCGAACGAAATGTTTGGGGACATTGCAATTTTAGTCAGTGGAGTGAATCGGACTTCAAGAAAAGATTTAATAGCTTGGAAATACTGGTCAAAGAAGTTGGTTTAACTCCTGCAGCTGAGTCGAAAGCTTTAGAAGATCTTAATGACTGGAAAGACAGAGGTAATTATATGCATAGGAATACTGCAATAAAGCAATTTGGTTGGCCGAGAAACGTTTCACAACTGATCAGTATTTATCTTACGCAGTTTGTCGCAGGTCAATACGTTTTTCAATCGATTAATTCGCCGTGATATATTTGCTATATACACGTTTCTTGCATTTTCATTGGCTGATTCCTGACTTGGATTCCTTTTAAGGAATTGTTGATTCTAAAATGGCGTCTACAACTGCATGATCAAGCCTAGAGAATTTAAAGTTTCTATGATGTATTCACTAAGTTTGTTATATTTTGTTGTGTTTGGTAAAGTCAATAAACTGAAGGCTAAAAAAATTCTCTCCTGTAGATAGATATAAATAAATATTTGTTCAGAAAACTACAGACTCAGAAAATTACAAATTCAGAAAATTACAACTGTGTATGGACAGTATTGTGGGATTTTCGCCATCTGTTTCTCTTCGAGTCGATATGCGATTGGTCGTGATTTTTTAGACATAAAATCTGAAAAATTGGAGTTAATAAATATTAAATTTTATTTATGGTGTGTGAATCGATTTCAAAAGGTGTTAAAGATGAAATTTGTGACATTTTTTGTTAAAGGTGTCATATTGTGTATGAATGCAAGGATTGATCTTCACTTAGTAAAAAATATACAAGAACGTGTTAGTAATCTGTCAGATCGGGTAGAGAAAATGGCGCTTGAAAGCAGAGAGGAAATATGTTACTTGTTGTTGTTGGACAAGGCAATAGAAGATAATGAAAAACGAATTAAAAAGATAGAGCAAGATCAGGGCAACATGAAAAAGGAGCTACGTTCTACAACTGATAATATACACCAACTAACGACCAATCTGAGTTCTACTCAATTAAAAGTTGATGAAATCCAAGCCAGTCATGAAGCTTTTCAACAACGTGTCGCAGCTCTGGAAGGCCAACCGAACTGTGGCGTTCCCCAAAAGGCTATTTCCCACGGTAATATTAGATAAATAATTCTATTTATATTAACAAACATATATAGAATATTCCTAAATGGAGTTGTTAAACATTACGTAATGTAGAAGGATTAAAGTTTGGGATTGCACTATATTAATTTTAATTAGAACTCATTCTTGAGGATGGGTATTTTAGGGTGATAGCCATTAAGCTCCTCTAAACCTTTCTTATATACCCTTAATGTTTAGGAGCAGAATACAAAAGGGAGCAGAATAAAAAAGGAATTTTAAAAGTCGGCGCTTTTATTTCTGGTGAACGCAGTGTTGGAGGTGATCCTTTATTTAGTCTTACCGCTGAAAAAGCCCAAATGGCCAAAGATATAAATATCACTATAAATGTTAATCTTGGTGAAAAACTTGGCCCAATTTCAGATATTGAAATTACGAAAAGGGAAATCATAAAATCAAAGGAACCTATGGAAAAAAGGTATGCGGCTGCAGAATAATAACTGGTTTACCTCGGTTTCTATGTTGGAAGGCTAAATATCCTTCTCTAGATATTTAAAGAGAGAAAATTGAAAATTGGTTACGAAGTTTATGAATTTATACATCCTGTTTTATGGACCTAGATAAATAATTTGATACAAAAAATAAACATGCACATTTTCTATCACCTTTTCGCCTTTTCGCAGACGACAGTGTTTTCGAGGTTTTCCAGGATCGTGTATATGGAAATGCATTTTCATGTCGAGAAAAAGTTTTGGGAATCTCGAAAGTATAATCTTTCTTTCTTTTCACGCTTTCTTTCTTTTCAGGAGTTTAACCTGAAAAACACAAAAATTACATTAAACACATTTGATAAATTATAAGTTGCTCTTCAACCAAAACAGATGCAATGCAGGAATCGACGCAAGCCGTCAAGCAACCTTATGCACACGTTTTAGCCTTGGCTACCTGGTCGAATTAAAATAAAACATGCTGGTTATATTAAAGATGATGTAAAGTCCGTTCTGAGCATATATTCTGCGCATAACAATGTTTGTTTACGTTGGTTATATAATCTTTACATGACGTATGCGTCGTTATAATTTTATTATTTTCTTCTCGCTCGACGGGCTGTGATCTGTGATGAATATGCTTATTTTTTATTATATTTTGAAGAAAATATTGTTATATTTTGAAGAAAATATAAAGCGAAGCTTGTAAATAAACCGGCCGTTATTTAAAACGTTATATATTTGTAATTGTAGGACAAGCGAGAAGGTGGCGTCTGTAGCGACAACAAATAGCCTCGCCATTTCGGGCCTTATTCAACAAATAAATTCTTGGAGCATTCCTTTCAGCATAATATTGCTTTTTCTAGCAGCTTTATGATAAGATAAGTTATCGTCGTGACTCGCAATTCGAGCCTCTTCGCCTTGCGACATAAAATAAAATAATTTTGCTCCCGAACTGCCGTTTGTAATACAACGCGTTAATATTGCATATCATTAACATTCCAAAAGTTGCTCCCCCACTGATAGAATGTGTTGCTGCGCGGAATTTATGCGCAGAACGGACTTTACCTCATCTTTAATATTCGTAAGAATTTTCTCCGACAGGAAAATAGCAGAAACGCGAATCCTGAACGCAATGAAAGAAGGGAATCTTGAAGAAATCAAACTGTTTCTGGAATCTGGCGGTGATATTAACATAAAAAATATGCAAGGAATGTCAATGCTTCACCTTGCTGCCCAATGTGGCTCTTTAGACATTCTCCGATATTTAGTTCTTCGTGGTGCGAAGGTAACAAGTAAAGACGACAATTGTCAAAAGACGGTTTTACATTCGGCTTGTCGTGGGGGAAATGACGCAATTGTTGAATACCTTCTCCAACATGGAGCTGAGAAAGATATTGATAAAGAGAATCATTCAGGATGTTCGCCTTTGAGCATAGCATGCTCTGAAGGTCATACGGCCATAGTTCGGATGTTACTGAAATTTAACGTCGATGTAAGAAAATTCGACATGGATTTTTTTTGTTTCAATGATAAAAGCACCGATATTCTTAAACAGGAATCCACTAAGCATCTGAAGAACGATCGTAGTTTGGAAGCGAAGGACGAGAAAAAGGTTAATAGGATTTTATATATGATATTTAACTCAATAAGTGTATTATCGCTAGTTAGCCAAACAAAATAAAAAATTAATAATATGATTGCTTTCTATTTCAGGAACAGGCAACAGTGGAAGCTCCATCATTAATGGATCGCGTAGTGGTAGCATCAAGAAAACTCATTAGGCCAACCAACCCAGGTAATGAATTGCATACTGTCTTAATTCTCTACAAGCCACTCCTTTAAAAAGGTCAAAAAGTGATCATCACAGGGACCTTGCGACGGAGCAAATTTCGAAACCGTAGACTGTCCGTCGCATCGTTGATGGTCAGTCGCATCATTTAACTCGATCTCAGGTTGCTTGAACACGGGCTCACACTATTATTAACGACAAATATACACAGAAAATAAACCAAACCCTCAAATAACCTAAATAATTAACCAAAATGTATTTTCCCTGGTTCAATTCGGGACTTTGCAAATACGAAAAAAATAAAGAAAAAACAAAGTGGTTACAGGCAGTATTCGAACACAGGCAAAGCCAAATGCATGAATGAAAAGCCCACTAGTTTAACATTATATATGTTGGTCAATTAAATCAGCAGTGCTCTAGCAACCTGGTATCGATTTAAATGATGCGACTGACCATCAAGGATGCGACTGACTGTCTACGGTTTCGAAATTAGCGGCGACGCAAGGGGTGTTTGGGAATGACACTTCTCTTTCGCAATTATAGTCGGTCGAATTATTTTGTTGTCGGTCAAAATAATACAACATCAAATTCGAATAATTACCCAGATAATTGGGAAATCCAATCCAGAAAACTAACACAACAGTTTGTTGATTTTTATGCAAGAGTTGTGAAGAATCGCAAAACGAACGAGTGAGTGTAGCGAACGAGTGAGTTTGCGATACTTCACAACGAGTGCATAATGAAAATCGTAATTTGTTTATTAAATGTGTATAGAGACCAATTTGACAACGACACGCTTTTAAATAAAAAACACAGCAAGCACCAAAAATCAAAATTTATACATCAAAACATATTTATTACCGTTAAGTTTTTTTTTTAATTATGTTCAATAGAAGTTAGATATTCGTTCCGAAAGATTTGATAATGTGCCGAATGTGAAAATGTCTTGAATTTGAGAATTATGTTATAAATCTCACTCCTATATTTGACGCCATCTTGAAAAAAATGTTAACAAATCGCCGCCAATATCGTATGTAAAAGCCGTGCATGTGCATTCTTTTGCCGGTCAAATTAAACAATCAAATTGCATGAATTTAATTTATTCAGTAAAATACGATTTTTATTTCATCATTCTGCTGTGCATAAATCTCTATACATATGTAACAAAGAAAAGATGTCAACGTTAAAGATTCAAACTGTGGCCGAAGAGAACTTAACCAGTTTAAGCGTGGAATTGAAAGAAAACATGCGTCTATTTTCCCAGTGTTTCCGCGCGCTTTATTCAAACCCAGCTGTCGATGGTCATAGTGTCGCTGTTGTAAAGTTCAGAAAAATTCGAGAGGACACAAGACAAGATGCAATTGTGTTTTTGAAGGGCATCCTTCCCATTACCGCGAATCTCATGAGGTTTGTTCAAGAATACTTCGACAATTACGAAGCTTTGTCGTGTGAAGAGTGGCGCGAGATGTTACCAGACATTTTGGAGGAAACGAAAGAACGCAAAGCCCTCGCGCAGACGGTGTTAGATATGTACCAGGATATCATGGTTCCCTTCATGAAACGCCAAGACGAGGCGATTATTGTCATGAAAGAGTTCCAACGCCTACAAAGCGAGAATGAAGATATGTTTGGAGAATACGTAGCACAATCCGAAATCCACAAAAGTGCATTCCTCGTTGTGGCTGAAATGTTCATTCCAGCACTGTCCAACTTAATCGATGGTTTAAAAAAATCAGCCAGTTTCCTTAAAACTCTCAATTGTGATTTGCAATCGTTTGAAACGAAAGCAGAAAAAGATGAACCTAAAACGTTACATTATAAATTAATGTGTTTTTCGGCGAGGGATATAAATTCTCTTTGTCAAACGGTCTACGCAACACTGCCAGATGTTTTAGCGAATTTCGAGGCACTTCCCAGTAAAGATACTGACCAAACCTACGTAGATGAATGGTTGGGGAAATTGACACTTAATGCTCGTGTCAGGACTTTCTTAGGACCGAAGAAAATTGCCGTTCGGAAATTAAAACCAAACCTTGGAAGACATCCACCAGTAGCATATCCTAAACCACCACCAATACCAGCCTCTGGAAGACGACCACAACCGGTAAATGATCTTATTCCACGACATCTTACACGACTACTACCACCACCACCATGGAGACTAATAGCAGAGCCTGAACTATTTCCACCAGTAACAGATCCTAAACCACCCCCAATATCAGCCCCTGGCAGACGACCACAACCGCTAAATGATCTTATTCCACGACATCGTACACGACTACGACCACCACCACCATGATCGAGGACTAGTAGCAGAGCCTAAACTACTGCCACCAGTAACAGATCCTGAACAACCACCAATACCAGACCCTTCTTCAAGCATTTAATGTTGGTATATTTGAAATTAGTATGAAATTATTGAAATTATATATATATATATATATATATATATATATATATATATATATATATATATATATATATATATATTGGTCTAAAAATTTATTGAAAGGTTAAAAGACTAAATTTTCGGCCGCTCCCTGCGACCTTCGTCAGAGACTATTTACAAGTTTATTACAACGGTTTTGTTATCATGCGTTAAAGACCACGTGTCCACTGTAGCATAATTAGTAGCCTTAGTATGCAACAGTGGACACGTGGTCTTTAATGTGTATTTTGAAAATTTAGTCTTTTAACCTTTTAATGAATATTTAGACCAGATACACACCCGTTTCCTACTTCATCATGTCTTTCACTGGTCGCCCTTGTAGTATAATTATATGTAGTATTATATATATTTATATGTAGTATATATATATATTATAATATATATATATATATATATATATATATATATATATATATATATATATATATATATATATACTATACTATACTAGAAAAATATCAGACCGAGGTCTTGACAGTACAGACCGAGCGATAGCGAGGTCCGTACATAAAAGACCGAGGTCTGATATTTTTCCAGTACGGACCGAACGTATTCGGTTAATAAGGGATTTATTATATGGCATACAGTATTTAGTTTATTTATTTATACAATGCGCTGCAGCATTCTTGCCGGCCAAAACTTGGCTTCCAAAACTTTTGTTTTTTACTCGTTAAATAAGAATGATACAGTAATATAAACAAAAATCAAAGATGAATAAATATAATATATAATATACATTTGCAAAAACGTTGGCCGCAGATAGATATACAGGGTGTCCCAAAAAAAAAGCAAAAGCAACTCTCTAAAGCGCAATAGATAAGCACCTCTGGGAATTGAAAATGGCTCTCAATCCTTCATTTACAATGCTAAAAGTCATTTTAGCTGAACTATGGTGCAAACACGAACAATATTAATATTCTTGCATATTTAAGTGGTCGCGTTTTTTTTGGGACACCCTGTATAGATAGATAAATACTCGAAGTCTAATTAGAATTGCATATGTGATATGATTACATTTGCATGGGATTTCATTCATATTACACAACATATGCAATTCTAATTACATTTTGAGTATCTTTCTATCTATTTGCGGCCAACGTTTTTGAAATGTTCAACATATACACAATGTGGTTGTCACTGAGTCGACAGAGCTCAATGCCAAAGAGGCAGAGCAGTAATACAATACAATTGAAGATAAAAAGGTTAAAAACCGTTCGCTCGGTTACTCGAGTTTCACGCCTTTAAAAAGCGATCATCAGACTAACATTCCTTATATTTACAAAGCATTTATACCTAAAAAACATCCTTAAAATATTTACATAAGGCCAACAATTAAGTTGGATGCAAATTGCATAAGAGTTGAATAAAAATTGAATGAAAATTAGCATAAAAATTTGTTTTTGTGCCCACATGATGAAATTAGTTCTGACTTTTTGTTCAATAAGAAACGCTTGTCGACATTTAAAATGCAAAGTTTCTCCGCCAGGCAGAGGTTGCATTGTCTTGATCCACCGCGGTAAGCACGGGCTCGCTGTATAACTGACCACTTGATTGAATACTTTATTCCTGATTCCTTTAATTTCCAGAGGTACTTCGACAGCGATGTTTTTGTCGCGTATTTCTTCTTTTCAAAGGATTGCTTGTGATCGGCATATCGGGTTTGGAAACTGTGCTCTGTCATACCAATATAGTTTCTTGTGGTTTGATCTTCGGCTGTTACTGTTGCTTCGTATACTATATTACTGGTCTTACATTCTCCATTAATCGGGCAATCAGATTTGACACGGCAATTGCACTTATTAGTATAATTGATTTTATTTGATTTAATTTGATTATATATATTGACTTGTTTTGATAACCGGATATTGAGTAAAAAATCTAGACCTCCTGTCATAATTCTTCCCCTCCCCAATTTCACATCTCAGGCTTGGGACTGAGCAATGGTTGGTTTAAAAGGAGGAAGGACAACTACAACAAAGATGACATTTATCCATTTAGTTCATTCGAGGTGTCTCCCACTTAATACTCAAGGTCTCAAATTACCATTAATAACAACCATGAGAGTGCTCAACTCCCGAAGGAGGAGCTAATTATATTTCGGTATGTTTAAGACATTTCTAGTAGATCCGGCAGCCGTGAATTTAGACAAACAATGTCTTAAACATACCGAAATATCTATATATATATATATATATATATATATACATATATATATATATATATATATTATAATATATATATATATAATATATTATATATATATATATATATATATATATATATATATTATAATATATATATATATAATATATAATATATATATATATATGCTAACGCTGTCTTAATTGTCATGCTCAACTTTGTTTTGAAAAGCGTGCAAGTTTGCTTGCAAGCGGGAATGGTGGTCGGCAAACAGACTACTTCAAAGAGAGGTTAAGTTTTAGCTGTCAAGTCATTTGGACTCTTAGTCCTGATGCAGGCTAAGATTTCGATTACATTTCATTTTTGTATTTGGCTTGACAAAGCACAAAAACGTTGCAATCGAAAGGGTAAAATGGAATAAACATTGCATTTGGCGTGGCGTGTGGGTTGGCGGACAATCAAAGAGAAACATCTTGAGATCGCCACACGCAAATAGTAAACCCATGGACGGTTGTACGAAAGCTGGATAGCGCTATCCACTGGATAGTTTTTTCAATCGCTCTGTAATTTCTCGTTGTTCGGTAAAGCTTTGGTTAAACCATCTTATATAGTATTCCTAAATTTATGATCCTCTTTCACAACTGTTAGCACCAAATCCACTTGAAAAATTCACTATCCGGCGTGGATAGTGCTATCCAGCGCTCGTACAATTGTAGTACTGGAAAGCACTATAGTTCTCTCACTTCTCTGTGCTTGTGCAATGGTCAATTTTTATCGGCAATTTATTCCGACATGAATGAGAATACCGATCGTGGGGTTTATCTAGAGCTGGTTCTCATCCATGTATTAGAATATTTTTATGTTGATGCATGTCGTTAACGATGATGGCAAGTCTATACAGAGAACAAAGAAAATCTCTATGAATACGGATTATTTTACAATTACTAGTTCACAACAATAACGACATAATGAAATATGCTTAATTTATACGTAAAAAGTTTTGTACGAGTAAAGCCCGCAGACGCCGGAGAACTATCAGCTGAGCTAAGATCTCACGAGGCGATTAGCTCAGCCCTAAAACCATCCGCACATGCACAAAATAAACTTTCCTCTCGAGGTGAATTTCTCACGAAAACTATCCGTTTGCTGAGCTAACAGCCTAGCGAGATCTTTATAGTTCAACTGATAGCTCCCGTAGGCGGTTTGCATGGCTTAAGATCTTCCTTGCACAAAACATGCATGGACGACAGTCTTCTTGGTGGCTTGGTGGCGTGTAAAATATTTCTAAATTTCTCAGGCTACCCAAAAGGTTGCATATTAAAAAATATGTTATTACTCACTAAATATAATTCAATTATATATAAAAATGTTAATGAACAAGCATTTGTCAAAAAATACGCGACTGGACCTAAACGTAAAATGTCCAAAGTTCAAGAAGACAGGGACAATAGAACAAAAAAGGCCTGGAGAACCTAAATATTTTCACGAAATGTACATACCATGTAGAACAGTAGAAGAACAGCAAGCTAATTTTCAAATCGTAGAGTTCAGATTACAGTAATACTAAATTTTGACAATGCGTTTTTCATGCAGGTCGGGTGATTATGATATATATTTTTTATTAAACTTGCCTATAATTCGGCGAAAAAATATGTTAAATATATAGCTTGCATCAGTAGTTTTGTTTTGTTTTGTGGTATCACCCAAAGTTTATATTTCTCATAATTATAATGCTTGCAACTGCAAATTGGGCAAATAGTCGAATACTCATCCAGCGTTATTTAGGCCGGATCTGTTTTGACTCAGAACCCGAGTGCAAAAATAAACATGTGATGCTAAGGCCTGTTTTCCACTTCAACCGTATCGTAGCGTTGCGTAGCGTATTTTTTTGTTTCCGAAGTATTCGATCAGATTAATGACTTTAAAACAATGAGATACGCTACGTTTCGCTACGATACAGTTGAAGCGGAAAACGGCCTTAAGACCTGATTTCCCACTTCAACCGTATCGTAAGGAAACTGTAGCGTATGTATTTGTTTCGAAGTCATGAATCCTTCTATCCAAGTGCCCAAGAAAATGAAATACTGTTGTGTGTTTGTTGTAAATATATCACGTTGTAAAATCACTGTTCTAAATAGTCACGCATGCGATTGTAAAATATGGACATATTTTACGTAGGCGTAAAGACAAGATATGAACCGGTCTTGTATCGGGATTTTAGTTAGGTTTTGGCTGTAAATAAGAGTGGAAGCGATCATGTTTTCGTTGGCATAACATTGGTGGCAGCGGTGGGATTCGTTTGTTTCTTTTATACGTACAATAAGACTATGGAAACAAGATCTCGAGTGAGACGAGATGAGGAAGAGGTCGCTTGTGACGATACGGTTGAGCGACAACAACAACAACTTTCGACGGAAAATGAAAATTTTACCGAATTGACTGCTATGTTGGGGAAGCAGATGGAGATGGTAGCCGAACAGAAACTGGTTCAAGCTGAACAAATGGTCCAAATTCGACGTTTGATCGCTGATGTCGATCAAAAACTACATGAAATTAGCGAACGACAAACTCAACTTGAAGTTAAACAGAGAGAACTTGAAGCAGAGCTGGCTCACATTAACGATGACTTCGGGAAGACCGAAAAGCAACGGAACACTTTGTCTATTGGTGTAGAATGTTTTGAAGCTCGATTAGACGTTGTAGAAGATCGCGTTGAACGATTTGGTGAGTGGCTTCGACAAATGCAGGAAGAGATGGTACCGGCCTTGAAAGAAAATGTCCTGAGGGAGCTATTAAAGGAAATTAATGCAAAGGAAGCAAAGTTAGAAAAACCAAATGACGAACAAGCAAGTAAATGTACTCCAGGAGGGCGTATGTCTGCTTCGGACGATACATGGACAACTCCCATCTTTCCAGCATCTGAAAAGCGACGCGTTCTACCCAAAGTCCCTACGTTTCAACAACCCGAATTGGCGGGCCATCTTAGCTCAACAAATGTGCAAGCATCAGGCGTAGAGAGTTCCCGAAAACTCGTGCAGAAACCAATGTCGTTTGACGGTTCGGGCTTGTGGGAATCTTATTATGCACAGTTCGAAATAGTGTCTACTTTAAATAACTGGAACGATCGTCAAAAAGCGGCTTATCTAGCTACAAGTTTAAAAGGTCCTGCGTTGGCTGTGTTGGGGAATTTGGCTCCAGAAGATCGCCAGAAGCTTGATGTTTTGGTGGTCGCGTTGAAAAACCGTTTTGGGACAAGCCATCAAACAGAACTGTCGAGAATGAAGTTCAAGAACCGAGTGAAGCAGAGGGACGAGTCATTACCGGAATTGGCCGAGGACATTGAACGTTTGAGTAGGTTATCCTACCCTGATGCACCGCCAACGTTGCGCGATGTTCTTGCAAGAGATCAGTTCGTAGATGCTTTACCTGACGAGGATACTCGATTACGAATCAAGCAAGAGAGACCACAGACCTTGCGGAGAGCTCTGGAAGCTGCCCTTGAACTTGAGTCTTTTAACATCGCTGCGCGGCAACGGCAGAGAGTGGCTAGAGAAACCGAGCTTCTTCAAAAACACCCACGACCCGCTGTTCATTCAGTGCAATCACCACCACCAAATCATGACCACGACACTAGGCGCCAGGCCCCACCAACAACTGTTACCCAGCTAGAGGAGGGGAATGTTCAAGTGACACTAATTCTCGAGCGACTGGAGAAATCAATGAAGCAGTGCCTAGACGGGGTACTGGAAGCAGTGAAGGAACGGAAGCGACCTTTTAGAGAACCTGGTTGCTGGAATTGTGGCAGCTTTGACCATATTAGGAGAAATTGTCCGAAATCAGGTCATCAATCAAAAGGACAGAACGAAACACAAAGATATCCAGGAAGACAGGGAAACGAGAAGTAGCTGGTTCTGGGGGACAGGGGCCAGCTAAACAAAATGTAGTGTCGATTGTTAACGTCAGCGCCAGTGCTGACTTACCCTATTGCCTCGGGAAGATACACGTTAGACACTGATGCTAGTGAAAGAGGGATTGGTGCGGTTCTCTCCCAAGAGCAAGACGGACATGAAAAAGTTATTGCGTATTTCAGTCGTAGTCTGAGTCGTAGCGAGCGTAATTATTGTGTTACCCGTAAAGAGTTACTTGCCGTAGTTAAAGCGATAGAAAAGTTCCATTATTATCTGTATGGTCACCGATTTAGAGTTAGAACTAATCGTGCTTCGTTAAAGTGGTTATTTAATTTTCGCCAGCCTGAAGGACAAATTGCTCGATGGTTGCAAAAGCTACAGGAATACGACTTCGAGATCATACATCGTGCAGTAAAGAGTCATGTAAATGCTGATGCTCTGTCGAGACGACCTTGTTATGACCTAGGCTGTAACTTTTGTTCCAGCTTGGAAGAAAAGGATGCGCCTAACCACGTAAACGTTGAGATAACCGAAGAAGAGTACAACGGTCATCACGGAGTCGTAAGAAATGTGATTAACCAAGAAGAACCCTTGCTATTGACTTGGACCCAAGAACAATTTAGGACCCTGCAAATGCAGGATCCGGATATCAGACCACTCCTGCAATGGAAGGCTATTGGCAAAAGACCAGAATGGCCAGATGTTTCCGCAATGAGCACAGTTACAAAGTCGTACTGGGCACAATGGGACTCTATCGTAATGATGGACGGAATCCTATATTGTCGTTGGGAAGGACCATTCGGTAAAGAGGTAAAACATCTTTACTTGACCCCAAAAGCGATCTATGATGACGTTTTACGCAATCTCCATGACTTACCCACTGCAGGACATTTTGGAGTAAAGAAAACCCTAGCCCGAGTTCGACAGCGTTTTTATTGGATGAAGTTAAGATGGACGGTTGAAAACTGGTGTAGGCGGTGTGAGAAATGCTCTTCACGCAAGGGATACCCTAGAAGCGCAAAAGTCCCGTTGAAGCTGTACAACGTCGGTTCTCCGATGGAACGAATAGCAGTAGATGTGCTGGGTCCCCTCCCAAAAACCGTACATCCTTATAGCTCAGGATTATTTTACAAAGTGGCCCGAAGCGTTTCCAATACCAGATCAACGAGCAGTAACGGTTGCCGAGGTTTTGGTGAGCCAATTCTTTACCCGGTTTGGGGTTCCTATAGAATTGCACTCCGATCAAGGGCGAAATTTCGAGTCAGAAACATTTCAAGAGGTCTGCCGATTGCTGGGTATTCATAAAACACGGACGACCCCTTATCACCCTGAGTCTGACGGGATGGTGGAGAGGTTCAACCAAACGCTGGAGAACGGCTTAGCTATGTTCGTCAACAGTCACCAAACTGACTGGGATAGACACATTCCTCTACTGCTCATGGCATATCGCAGTGCGGAACATGAAACTACGAGAATCACACCCTCCCGCATGATGTTTGGAAGAGAGATCAAATTACCAGTCGATCTGTGGGCGGGGCGACCAGAGAATAGTGACATGGCTCGAGGAAGTCCTGTGTATGCACAACAGTTGCAAGACAAGCTTGATGAAGTACATGCATTCGCAAGAAAGAACATCCAGCTTAGCAGCCATGTTATGAAAAAGAATTACGACATCGGTGCCATGGAGCGGAATTACAAAGTAGGAACTGCTGTTTGGCTTCACAACCCTCAGCAGAAGAAGGGGAAATCACCGAAACTTAGTAAAAAGTGGGATGGACCATATGTCGTTGTAAAACGAATCAATGACATTGTAGTACGGATCCGGAAGACTCCGCATTCTAAACCGAAGGTCGTGCACGTTAACCGGCTAAAACCTTATATTGGTGATGAGACATTCAGTTGGTTTTTCCGTAACGGCAACCCTAAAGAGAGTCAACAGTCTGTTAGTGCCAGAAAAGTTCCAGAACCTGTCAGTACGAGTGATGCAAAAGCGAATGCTGAGGCTGTCCCCTCGAAACCCTTGCGACGTAGCGAACGGATTAAGAAAATACCTGCACGGTATCCTAACTAAACTGTTACGTAGTTGTAGTAGTTCAACGGGGACCGATGAACTGGGGGGGAGAGCAATGTTGTGTGTTTGTTGTAAATATATCACGTTGTAAAATCACTGTTCTAAATAGTCACGCATGCGATTGTAAAATATGGACATATTTTACGTAGGCGTAAAGACAAGATATGAACCGGTCTTGTATCGGGATTTTAGTTAGGTTTTGGCTGTAAATAAGAGTGGAAGCGAGTCTTGTTTTCGTTGGCATAACAATACGCTACGTGTCGCTACGAGCCAAAGATACGGTTGAAGTGGAAAACAGCCTTAAAACCTATGCTTGTACCCCTGCTGAAACTGATAAACCTATGCTTGTACCCCTCGTATATTTTGGGCTGACTACACCATAACGGTACACCGAAAATTCTATCTTTTCCCAGTAAATACCAGATTTCCTCCAAGAAATTCTGAAGCCTGGCAATGCTACTGGTTGTTATAATGCCCTTATTACACAACCAGATAGAAGTCGATTACATATAACGGTTATATATAGTCGGTATGTAACGTATATATTACGCGCTTTGAAAGTCTACATAGAATAACTATGAATTGAATTCGAAGCTATGCAAAGAATTCGAAGATTTCCCACCCCGCAATGACCACAGCACAAGTGAGCATCATGGATTCAAGGTCTTGTTTACCGGTAAACCTCTAAAATATATTGCCATTGGCTGTATTAGATCAGTCACCAGTAATAGTTAGGTGTAAAAGTATAACTACTTGTGCTACAACGGACGATGTTGTGCGTAGATGCCTAGATGGAGAAGATTTAGACTAAAATCTAAATTCAAAAGAACAACTGACAGAACGACATGGTCATAACTCATACGATCGATTGTTAAAGAATTAAACGCAGGTAGGTAATATACAAATCAGATATATTCTGGTTTCCCTTGACATTGTCATTCATGGTTAATCAGTTACAATCTTGAATATGTCTTCAAATTGTATTGTGATTTGTATACAGCTAATTCAATTAAGGTTAGCTAAGGTTGTCCTCTGAGCGAACCTTTTAATCCCTTCAATTCAGAAACTTGCCTTGCACGTAGCATGAGTATATTTCTATCGTGAATCTTCTTGGATATTCTTGCGCTGCCAAATTTCCAACTATAAAAGTCTAAATTTATCATGATCCCTTGAGCACTCAGAGTTTAACGTTTATATGGTTTTCGAAAGACAACGTTAATTGAATCAGCTGTATATAGCAAGCGGAATTATAGTATAGTGGTTACGACGTTACGTGCATCCGAACGTAGCCAGGCCTCGCTTAGCATACAACGTCGAAGTTAATCTCTCAAAATATCTTGAAGTATTTTAAGTGTCAGGTTTATAGAATGTTATTTGTATTTTTGCAAACGCATATGCATCCTAACCATTAGACTGTCGAATAATTACTCATAATAGGTCGTGAGTGCAGTTTAAAATCTGCTTAAGCATGACGAGAGCGTTCTGGTTTATTTTAATTTTTGTACTTCATCGATATGGTTTTATTGTTCCTATCTATAATATTGTATATAGAGTATATATAGAGAAACATAATCAGGGTGTCAGTGTGTGTATATAAGATTGTGTCTTGGGTCAAAGAGTCATTGCTAACTTTTAGGGGTTATTGCCCTTGATGCATTTCTAATTTTATAAGATGAAACCAAAAGAATATTCTGGCTTCCATAAATTATATAATCTTGATGCATATATTCAGTAAGATCCTATTATATTTAAAGTGATGCAAATCTCAAGCTGGGAATGAATTGTCCACCCACTTATCGATGGCGACGCCACTTAATTACGACACTTGTGATGGGTAAAATATTCGGTTGAATATTTGATATTTAAGTTGTTGCATTGCACTATAGCCACAGCTAAAAGGAAATAATAACGATCAAAAATCACTCAGCGATATTGACGAACTTCATCGCAATAGGGAACACATCTTTGCGTCTTTTTAAGCTTCTATAATGTGATGTAACAAAAGCTAGAGTCTTTACGAGGCATATCTGATGAGAGCATTTACCGATGACGTACGTTGACTGTAAACGAAGCGTTAACTGTAAGGTACTTAATATCAAGGATGCGCTAAAGATGGTTCACAGCAATGACAGCACTGCAAATAGTATAGAATGTGATCTAGGAGTTTTCAAAAAACCTCCTCATAATTCAAAACACTTTAAATTTCGAAGTGTTCAGCAAACACCGAATAAGTGTAAATCAATATATTACACCCACAAAGTGCAAATTTACTCTTCGAGGTGTATTATTACTCGAATATTGTGTTTTCTCAACACCGGTAAAGTGTATAGCTAAATAAATAAATAAACACCATTCTTGTGTAATAAAGCACCACTTTGGTGTAAACTTTATCGCTATAATTTTGTTTTGAATGAGAGCTGAGGCGTGCATGCATTGCACTGGAAGCTTTTGTCGGAAAAAAATTGCAAATGGATTATCATTTTTTATATTCCTAAATAACTTAATAACAGTTATGAGTAATTGGTAATAATCGGGCAAAGAGAAGTCAGGAGCATTTGCATTCTTAAAATAACCAAAGCTCCACCCAAAGTCTTGGAAAAAGATTTGTTCTACGTTTATATCTTTTTTATATCTTTCTTTTCATATTCAGAAGAAATGACGCTTTTGATGCCTATTTCAACATTCTGAAAGTTTATCTATCATGAAAATATATATTATAAATCCCGTAAGGGTTTATTTAATTGCCTCTATTGGATTTAGCGCATCTCTCTCTCTCTCCACTAAATTACAACGTTCTACAATAAAAATTTAAGCTATACTAAATGCGTCTAAAATCACCTATATTTAAAGTTATACAAGTCTATATCATGCATGGACTAATGGACTACGTCTATACAACATTCCGTCCTGTAGAAATAATTATATAATCTACCTTTATTTAATCTCGTTTCCTTTTCCCTAACGTTGTTTACTTGTTTGGGCTGCAATTAATGAAGCCGGTGTTTCTGGTCGATCAAATCTTTAATCATCAATGCTTTGTTTCTGCGTTCTTCCAGGGATTCCAATTTACTCACGTTTAATTTGCTACTATATAATCCCTATGTCCAGTATGTCCATATATAATATTAAGAGCCCTTCTCTGGACTGTTTCTATATTGCCATTTGCATCTCGGTAAGTCCACCACTCCAGATATCGAGGACAGATCGAATTGTGTTGTATTAATGCATGGAGGTTTAAGCTACTAATACCGGATATTACCAAGTACAATGTCATTCAATATAAGTTTTGTTAGCAGGGTGGCTAATATTTAAAGGACATAAGCCCTGTAATAAGCACAGTCATTTCAATTCGAATATTTGATAAGGAGTGTTAACTTAATTAATAATTTAGACAGTATAATGTTTACCAAAGAAATTAAAACAATCAAGTCACATGACATGTATTATCATTGCAAACCCTTATGGGATTTTTATTGATGATTTTTATTGGTGATTACAATGAAAACATATAAAATCTGATGTTTTAAAAGAACTATATAAAATGGCACCCCCTAAAGTAAAGTGAACGGGTAAAAAGAAAGGGCACTGTTACGTATAATTATAGCGATCAGTTTTGTAAACCGGCTTATAGATATTTTTTCGACTTATGCTTCAAACTTTTAATTAAGAATCATTCTCTGGGTTGCGGTATATTTTGGGGTAATATTACGATATTATAAAGGGACACTAGTCAAAAACGATCATTGAACCGTGGTTTCCCAATTAAAATATACTAAATCAAATTCGCTGCTAAGGGACGTTTTCCACTAAGCGGAGAAGTTTTGCCTTTTAAAAAATGCCTTTCATGCAAAGTTCCACCTAGTGGAAACAGCCTTGCCACGATCAACGCATGCGCTGGACAATCTATACATTAATTCGTATACGCACTTCAGCTCGTATAAACTATTTCGCGTTTACGGAATTAACACGCCGATTTCATGTAATGTATCGTGATCACCTCTTTTTATTTGGCGAATAATTGGATTATTAGTGAGTATCGAATTCGAAAGTCTTCTATGCCAATAATCTTTTAAGACACCGACGTTTTGGAGGAATTATTAAGCCTTATAAGTGCAAGAAATTCGCCCGGCAGATTCAAGGTGAAATTTTTATCAATCCAGGTAACACTAACTTATCTTAGTTAATCGATGCTGAAGGCAAGTTTAAAAACTTTGCCGTCAGAGTGATCAGTGATGGTATAGATCTAATCATAGATTGTGGTTTTTGCCACTGTTAGATAGTAAACTGGCAATAAGCGACGTGTTGATGTGTTTGACAGTCAGTATGTTAGCCTCTGGCCTAGCTGGTGTAGACGTTTATGCATTATTTAAAGTATGTGCCGATTGCCAAAGGTGTAATGGAAAATGTTGGCAATAAATGTTAGCTCGACAGTTTATGGTAATTGTACCAGCAAAATAACGTTTAAGCGCGCTTGGCCTGATGCGATGTCGTTTACAGCTGAATTTTTATTAAACTCACGCAAGTTGGTACATACGGCGCATTTTTCAACGAATCAATTTCGCCGTCTGTGAGAATTATAAAGCGCTTTATACGTACGTTTATATAGCGCAATGGATAATGTTCTACTGTTATATATCGTGAGATATTGCTATATACCTGAAAAGGTCCATTTTTTTCGTAAGTTAGAGAAATACTGCTTCAGAATTGGAATTAATTCTATGTTAACTTCAGAATTCTACATTCGATATGTTATAACCGGTTGAATGGCTTCGAATAAAAACATTTTGACACAGCATTTTTTTCGTAACAGCAATTTGTTTATGAGCTGCACCTTTTCAAATTTTTGAGCATATACATGTCTTTAACTGTTCAAAGCGGTGCAGAATAATCTTAGGGAAAACTAAAATGACTACAGGAAGACGAATAATGATGACCTTAAAATACCAATTTTCGCCGAACGACGACATACGACACATGAATAAAATGTGGTTTACATCCAACAGCGACCAGTAGCAGATTTCTGCCAACGCTGAATTTGAAACACTAAGAAATCATGCATGCATACACGCGGAATATCTGGCAACCTACAAGATTAATAGGAATAGTTTACAGTTGTAAATTTATACCAAGAGGAAGGTAAATACTCCAATCACATTTACCCAGTGAAAAGACATCAGAACAATATTCGACGGTGTCAGGTCTATACTGGAAAGCTTTATATTGATTGACTTAAAAAAATTATTTACGCGAGAATTATATGGGCTATTCAAGGACTGTGAGGAACGTGGAATGAGTTTTAGGGGATATATTCATCGCATTGAAACTTGTTCAACCTGTTGATTTTCCCGTGGAATATTGCTGCATCTCATTAAGTTTACATATCATGCTTCACGTGAATACGCGAGCCTACCGTATAAAAGTGAGCATGAACAACACTTTATTAAAGGTCATTGTTTAACATTTCGTCGCGGCCTGAATATAGCTCCTTCACCCTCCCTCCTTCCACTAACCCATTTTGCGCTTCCACTTTCTAATTAATTACACTTGGGCGTTTTTTAGCTCCCCACCTTTTCTGTGCTATGCATGATGATAAAAAATGTAACCATTTTCCTTTAATTTGCTACATTTGTTTTCATTATTAAACCGGCATTGTGCTTTGGCACATTGCCATTTATTTATCCAAATGAGAGTACTGTTATGATTCTATATTTATTGCGGCCTCGCACAGAAAACGGAGTTCATCCGACCGATCATTGCCGCCAGAGTATTAGTCTTCATTTATTTATTTTACGATATGGGCTGCACCGCGGAAGCGATAAACGGGGCCTAATATAGAAACAGTTTACAGATGAAAATTTTTATTTTTTTACCAAGAGAAGGGTAAATCTTCCGATTACATTTATCAAGTAAAAGGATATCAGAATAATATTCGTCGGTGTCAGGTCTATACTAGAGAGCTCTATAGTTTGACTATAAATACGATAATACGGCTCCCATCTCCAGAAATTCAAGTGATTACCAACACGCAGGATTTCGCAATCAAAGATGGCCGCCGTGTTATAATAAACTTATACAGGGTGTCCCCAAAAAATGTCCCCTCTATTGAAATCAAGCCTTTGTTAGAATCTTATTATTGCCTTAATATTATGATAAACCCAATTTAAAGCAAGACGCTTTATTTGAATGCCTCAACCTACTAACTATGCTATTTACACACTACTGCGTTGATCATGCATTCGAATTCTAACAAAAGCTTCATTTCCATAGGGGGGATTTTTTTGGGACACAGCTGTCTAAGACACGAGACAAATTTGAAATTAAAGCAACTTCCATTTTACATATTGCAGAAACTCGGTACTGTTATGACAATTTTTTTCATATTTTGTCTTATCCGCGGAACAGGTTTCCCAATAATGTCATTTCAGCCACGCGTTAGCTACTTTCTAACCATTATATATCCTTATATAATTTTTTGATAACAAGGCAGCCATCTTTGATTGCGAAATCCTGGTATTTAATCCTGAATTGAATCTCTGGCGACGCCCGCCACGTTCACTATACGCGATTTAAAAAAGCAATATATGAGTAGATATTTTCTCAGGTATTTTCTGGAAAATAGTTAAGAGAAATTTCTTTTTCATCGTGGTTTTTATCACATGCTTTCCGAAATGGTAAGTTCGATATTTCGAAATATTTGACAGTATAAACACGTGTTTAGTATAATTGACCGCGAGGTTTAATTAGGCAGGCACGAGCTGGCGCGTATAAAAAACGACGTGCGTTTCGTCGTAGCGGCCGGGCGGGGGTCAAAACTAAGGCGCTCTACTTTCGCCAATACAGTATACTGTAGAATAAGTTGACGCATTTGAGAAACTACGCTAGTTCCCTCGTGCAGCAAAATTATTCTACCAGGAAAATTAATATTAATTTTGAGCCATCCCATTTTACCCTTCTTTAATGTTTTTATTTAGATATAAATTAATAATTATTTAGCTATTTAATATAAATTTTGATCTGACTGTTGACTTTCCAGCATTCTGATTAGTCAAGATTTACTGTCACTGAAATGATAGTCATTGGTCGGTGAAGTAATTATGCCTTTTCATGAAATTATGTTGAGTATTATTTGTAAACACCTCGAAATTTATACTAAAACAATTATTCGCCTCAGGCTAGATGATTACAAGCCTATATATTCAAGCCAATATAGGGTTGTAATTACCTCGCCTTCGGCGACTAATTGTTAAATAAAATCTCAATTGTTGAATAAAATCTCGGCAGTTGTGATGGGATAATTGTTATGCATGCAAGCATATCGATTGAAACCGATCCGCGGAAATTTATCACGAAAATTAATTTGAGTTCTCTAACAATTGAAACTTTTTACTATTCAAGGATATATTGGCGGAAAATTACTGTCGAAAAATGTTACGGAAAACAGCCACAAAATGACAAGTACATTGAAAACTGATTCAAATAAAAGGTAATTCGTATTATTTTTATTTTTATTTTTATTTTATATAAAGAATTTAGACCAACCTGAACGTTCACTTTGGCATAGCCAGAAATGAGCGACATCTGTGCCTCTAAGCAACAACACTTAATGTCAGCGGATTCAAATTCACACATCCGTATTCGACACCAATCGGGAAATTGAATATTTAAATTTGACCTTTCGCTTGACGTTTCGCTTTAAGGTCATGCCAGTGAAGTAAAATTTGCTGAGGAATCTCCAAGACAAAATTAGGCTTTTTATGTATTATATTATTTTAGTCGTTTACGTCGCTAGCCCTTTCAGAGAAAGTTATATTTAAGTTAAATTTTAAATTTTCAACCATAATACATCGTGTATAAATAGCTTATTTCAGATCAGTGACTTTTTTCCGCAAAATTGCAAATTTCCAGCAAATTCGCGTAATAACATCAAGCAAAGCTTGAGTTCCAGCGGTATTTGGCGATAGAAGACATGCGCTAAGGAACTTAGAAACATGTTATCTAAGATGAGAATGAAACGAGCTTCAAAACATTAGTTTTGGGGAAGAAATTGACCAAAATATCACCAATGCTATAATGATATAATGGATACATTATTCATGTAGCCTAGGTGCCATTTTCACGTCATAGGGAGATTATAAGTCACCAGTGACACTACTCACTGCAAACTCATCCATGCAAAATACCGCTTGCGTGCATATACATGCACGTGAATCTATTCACCATATGCGAATTGCGTGGGAAGACTAAAACACAATTGCTTGAGACCAGGTAATCGGTACTGAAACTACAAATACAACAATAGTTGTAAGCTATTGGAGTTATAGAAAAATTCCGTCCAATATAACTGAATATATAAGCAAACAAAGACATTGTTCTAGTTTCGGACCTGTAGCTAATGAGTGAACAATTATTATCCGAAATCGCGGTGAATATCTACTGAAAACACGATCATAATATTATATTCTATCACCCAGGTCAAAATTAACCACATTAACAGAGGACCATAAACGATGGTGCGTCTTTGGAATTGCTCTCAACCATGTCGTCGTCCCTGCAATACGTCCTGTTTTAGAGCAGAAAATTCTCAACAAGTACAACGGCCTTAAATTGAACCACAATATTCACGTTCAGACCACACACAGCTTTCCCTCGCCGAAATATCCAGCTGGTAATGCCATGAAATACGAGAACATCAACGGGAATGATACCAAGCTAAAAGCTCCGCATTATAAAAAGTTTGATTACTCCAAGTTTGACTACAAAGTTACTTCCCATGTTGACTTTGCCAAGCTTTTTCTCCAGAATTACATGGCTAAGCTCAGCGCGTTCGATGAAACTTGTGATGCATCCGCTGTTCTTACTCTACTTGGAAGAATTCCAGTGTTTTCTGCTGCTCTCCAAAATGCGGCAAATGTTGTTAGAGAAGGTAGAAACGCTTGGGGTCATTGCAATTTTACTAAATGGAATGAATCCAACTTCAAGAAGAGTTTTGACGACATGGAAAAACTGCTGAGAGAATTTGGTTTATCTCCTGCAGATGAATCAAACGCTTTAGCGGGTCTTAATGACTGGAAAGACAAAGGTGTATATTTTTTATGTAATTATTTTCTTGTTGCATATTCTATTCCGATAATTGCGTGAAAAAATAAGCAATTTTTTTAGATTTGAAATTTTGCCCCCAAATTATTTTTACTGAAATTGTTGTTTTTCTTGTTTTAGGTGTTGCATTGTGTATGAATGCTTCAATTGATTCGGAGCTAGTTAAAGTAATGCAAGAACATGTTACTAAATTGTCCAGTGACGTGAACAAAATGGCTTTTGAGAGTCAAAAAGAATTGTGTAATTTGAGAAAAATTTTAGAAAATACTCACAAAAATTTACAAAATTGCGAGAAACGAGTGGAAAATATGGAGCTTACCCAGGATAATATGGAACAAGAACTAAGCTATACTGCTGCTAATGTAAGCCAATTGAAAACCGAACAAGAAGTTCTTCAACAAGAACTGAGTTCTACAATTGACAAAGTAGATCAACTGGCAATTGATCAAGAAGTTCTTCAAGAAGAACAGAGTTCTATTTCTGCCAGAGTTGAAATGCGTCAGGTCGGACATGAAGCCATTCAACAACGTGTCACAAAACTCGAGGGTCGAAAAAATAGTTCTTACGGTATTGTTTAACTGCTACATAACAATTGGTTATAATATCTTAGTAAAACTTACGTAAAATAAAAGTGAAGAGTTGTAAATCGGACATTTTGTTCTCCTGTTTGTGCGATCAGAATTTGCCGTCAAAATACAAGTTTTTCTGTCCTATTTGCAAATTTTTTGCACACACTATGCAGCAGTCTGCTCTATATGTAGCCGGCCAATTCTTTCGTGCAAAATCCACATTAGTAATGCAATAGTTTTAACAAAATATTGAAGACTTCCCCATGCATATGCCATGCTGTTTAAGAACTAATGACCTGGTTAACCTCGTAAATCAAATCATTTATTAAGAGATTTTAATTCCTATAGCAAGTTCCTTTCATATGTACTTTGATATTTCTAGTTTTCTCCGATTGTACTTCTGACATTGAATATTTCGCTGGACGATACGATCCAGACACAAGACATTGGTTCCTGGAAGATTTCAACGAGTGGTTCAGTGATTCTGGTAACTCCAGAGCCTATGTACTGCTGGGTGATGCCGGAGTTGGTAAAAGTGTCATGGCTGCTGTCGTTGCTCAAAGAGCAAAGAACGATGGAAACATGGCAGCTGCGTACTTTTGTCGTCATTACGATGGCACACGTCGTGATCCCAGGTATCTGCTTGGTACTATCGCTTATCAACTGTGTAATTGTTATAGTGAATATAATAGAGTTGTGGGAGAGGAATTCGGGATACAAAATATGTTGACTAATACTAAGCTAGGAGTTCACGAGCTGTTTACTAAATTGCTAGAAGAGCCATTAAGTAAATGCAGTCGTATTGCAAAAAAACTTGTTGTGATTGATGCACTAGATGAAGCAGAAGATTCGTCCAGAAAAGATTTTCTTGATCTCATAATGAACCGTTTTCCCATGCTTCCTAAATGGCTTGTTTTCTTCATTACTAGTCGTCCGGAAGACTCCGTGCAGTTTAGACTGAAAACGTACAACCCATGTATTAGGATTTGTGCCGGAAATAGCGACAGCGCAGGCTTTTATCAGCAGCATAAACAGGATATTCAGCGTTTTTTTGAGAAAAATGTGAAGTTCACGGGCCTGTCGTACTCTGCTGAAGAGCTAACGGGAAAATGTGATGGAATGTTTTTGTACGCTTTTTACCTGGTGGAAATTCTTAAAAACACCAAACAATTGGGTAGCAATCTTTTCCCTGGAAATATCAACGATTTCTTTTACAAAAATTTTAAACGTGTTTACGAAAAAGTAGGTGAAGAAATTTATTGGAAATTGTTTGGTTGTGCTTTGGTGGCGCCTTCTCCACTTCCCGTCTCATTCATTTCGTTTCTTTTAAAAAGAGAAGACTCCCCTCTTCAAACGCAGGAAGTGATTGACGCTGTCTCACATTTTGTTGCATTGCAAACTTCAGATAAAACCTTTGCATTTCTCCACAGTTTGATCCCGGCCTGGTTAATTGATGGGGAAATGGCCTCTCGAATGCTGTTTATTGACCGACGTAAGGCAAGCAAATTATTCAAAAATATTGTTGTCGATTTCTTAAGTGATTTTACACAGGAAAGATGGGACAATTTGTCCAATTATGAGCCTGATTTAGTAAATTATATTTCGTGCTTTGGCGTTCGCTTCTTAATCAGTGAAGATTCTAGGAGTTCTGAAATCGTATTCAATGCTTTGACAAATTATCGGTTTCTTGAACAGCGAATACGAAGCAATAGAATCGGAATTTACTCTCTTATTGAAGACTTAGAGATATCTTTAGGCAGGCTAACGTTTGGTCAAAGGGAAAAGAAGAATCTTGAGGATATCTGCTTCGTTCTTAAACGAGACAAATATATTGTTGCCGGTTGTCCTGAACTTCTTTATTCCTGTCTTCGTAATTACCCTGAACTAACCCGTGCAGATTTTAACACTGGGTCAGGCAGCTGTTGGATGGAATCAGGGTTTGGAATTTCTTTAAATGCAAAAACTGTTCTCAATAGTATGTATTGTTTTGCTTTTTCCCATGATAAGACACTGTTTGCTGGAGGAAAAGGGCGATGTCTTTATTTGTATAATGTACATTCTTTTGATTCGACTTTAGGACCTTTTGAAGTGATGAGTGAATCTATATCGCATTTGACATTTTTTCCTGATGATAAATTTGTGTTTTTTGGAAGACTTGACCGATGGTTTTCAGTGCAGGAGAAACGTGTCGTGAAAATGTCACAATTTTCAGGTAACTCTAAACATTATCGCTGGGGTTCGTTTATTCATGACGGTAAATACATTGCGCTAACGAACTTGGATACTCACAGGGAAAGACGCTGTTGTTGTTTGTACATATTCTCAAGGTGGGCAGAACACGAGCGTGACTTGGTAGGTGCCATCTCACAAACACAAGACAATTACTTCGATGGTATGAAACGTGAGTTTGTAGGTAACACAGACGGCTATGCACAGGCTTATGCGCTGAATTTGAAAAGCTTGAAACTTCTGTTCGTAATCGAATTGTAGTTCTTTATGCTGACTTATTTCAGTATCAAATCTGGAATGTGCAAACTGGGAGACCTGTGGTAGAAGAGATGTTTTCGTTGCAGTTAGAGCCATTCTTTTATATTTGGCATTTCAGTTCCAGGGTAAAATGCTTTGAAGACACGATTGGGAAATTTCATTGTTTGATTTCGCTATAATATTATGTACTACTTGTATGAAATATAACACTACGAACGGCGGGCATTGTCCAGCATGTGAAAACTGAAAGACGAACAGAGCGTAGCAGAGCGCCATCGGAATGGAAACGTTTCGCTTCTCATCCAAAAAACATCCGCAGAATGCTATGACCAGTTTTCAAGCTTAACTTATCCATTCCAAATTCTTTCAAAAAATGGGAGATGGCTTGCGAAACGCGGAGATAATAACATTGAAATCTTCGAAAAAGTAAGAGGAAGTGAAATTTCAAGATGGAAAAGCAGGCACTTTCAGGTTTCTTTAGTATAAATTAATAAATGTGCTTTTACAAATGATAGTAATTTGTTTGTATATTTCGAAAGAAAAAATCTGTACGCTATTTCTTTGGAAAATTGCACCGAATTTTGTAGTATTTCGGGGGCAGATCCTGTGCATTGTGCATCTGGCGATGGTGAGGGGATTGGGTATATTTTTCTTAGAGATAATGAAAGAAGAATCGTTATGTTGACTGATTTACCTGCAAATTGTTTTCGCCTTTTGCGGCTCATACTATAAATGCTATCACAACATTGAGTGTTAAGCCAGTTGATGTTTCGTTCACTTCAGCTGATACAATGATGTCGCTTCACTCAAACGGAAAGTGCAAATTGTGGAAAGTAAAGCAGGATATGTTGGTTTTGAGGGACACAGAGGCTCAACAAAAAATCAAAAAGAATTCACAAACAATCTCTGTAAAGGGAGGTCTTTTCTCCCCCGATGGAGAGTTAATTGCCTTACACGAAAGTTGCGAATTATTGTTATTTAGCACTGGTAAGCTTCTTTACCCCGTTTTTTCAGATAAGTGTGAATACACTGTTCCTTGTCTTGTATTTTCACCTGATAGCTATTTGCTTGCATTCTGTGTCCAATATGGCAGTCATAATCAGTCTTTCTACGTGTTCGACGTCAACACTAAGGCTATGACTGGCCCCATTCTCCTTCCCTTTCCATTCGGTTTAATAGGCATTGACTGCTGTTGCTTCTGTCCAGACAACACCAAACTGTGTTTTTGCAGTATTTCTGGTATCCTTGTTTTAGAGTATGCAACACCAGAGAGAGACACTCAACTTACTTCCCAAATTACGCAGCGTTGGACAAATGTGGTCACTGTACTGTCTCTTCTGATAACAAAATGCTAGCTTGTTGCATTGCTAATGATATATTAATATTTCCACTCAACGGGCAAGACACATTTTGTAAAGTACCACATAATCATTCAGGAAAAGTAGAATATTGTAAATTTTTGAGAGGGAATCGTTACCTGATATCATACGGTATCGATGGTGTGGTGTTGTTGTTCGACATTCTTGAATGGAAATCAGTTGCATATCGAAGGCAAGAGTCTATAGTTAGAGTAGCAATGTCTCCTGATGAGGATAAACTTGCTTGCCTTTATTCTTCTGGTGATGTAAATATCATAAGACTTTATGGGTTGAAAACAGGATTGCCTCAAAATTTCCAGTTGCCCTCAATTTCCCGACATCTGCAGAGAAATTTTGAAGTACAAGGTCGGCAGGTTGTTAGACCACCGGATCAAACCCATAGTGAAAACGAAGATTTAATGGATTTGGATGAACTAATGCGGTTTATTTATCAAAGTGAAAGCAGTGACGATGAATCAGACGAGACAGATTTACTTTCTGATGAAAGGGCAAATATTTCTAATTTAGAGTAGTGAATAATCATTGCGCAATTATTAATGTACATTTTAAGGTTCAAATATCCAATTTCATCTTCACATAATCTTATATCAAAGCGATTGACGTTATCTTTTCTCTAATTTTTCATTAGTGTGCCTTTTTAAACCCCTTTAACTGGAAAGTAGGGAGTCTTTAAAATTGAATCATTGAATCTTTTCTGAACAATGAATGTTCCATATTTTCAGAGCGATCATCAGCCGATAATTCTCCAGTAGCAAGGGTAGGGTATAAAACCTGAATTTAAAATTTTCCGTCAAGTTGATCCGTGCGTTTTCAGCCAAAAGTGTTTTTGAATTGATGTCGATATACTTTATCACATCTTGTAACATCCCTGTTTTTCAGGACGATCAATAAACCAAAGAATTAGCTAACACAGAATATCAAATAGCTAAAGTTAGAAAGAAAAACGAGTATCATCGGCAACTTCACCTTGAATAAAGAGTTAGAACTAGTATATTTGTTGATGAATTATGGGATCCATCATTTCTGGACAATCTCTCTCGTATTCTGTGCATCAAATGCTTCCAGGCTAAAAGATTTTTGTCTCATTTTTTGAGTCGAAGTTTTGTAGTTCGCAACGTTTGATTATCGATTAAGAGTCTTCATCATGCAACTATAGCTTGCCTGGTTAATCTTAATGGTTCTTCAGTCTGGCACGAAGGAGAGGGCTTAATTATATCGTATGGTTTTCATATGTCGTAATACATCAGCGATATGCATTTTCGGCGGCAATTGATGACCAAAAGATTTTGAACACATTGAACACAAACAATGGATCGTAAACTTTGATTAATTGCAACATATGATTACCTTGGCACGAGGTTGACCATAACGCTATTCAAAGTCGTTACCTGGAAACAGTGGTGGATCTAGGGGAGTGCAGAATAAATTACTATACAGCTTAGAATCGGAATCGCATTGGCAGATTTTAATGTAAAAATATTCTTTTCAAATCTATAACCAATAGCATTGTTATTAAGGTGTTTCGAATTTAAAATTAACATGTGTAATTTATTTTGCATAACCACGAGATCCGCCACTGCCTGGAAATTCTCTCTCGCTTCCAGCACTGGGATAACTGCTTAGCGATGTTCTTCTCTTCTTTCTTCTTCTTTCTAAATTCTTTGCTGTCGTCACTCTATGGTCGTTTCATGTTGACTCTGTGGTTTGTTTCAATCAGTAATCCTTTTGTAAAACTCTGTAACAAAGTGATTTGACCATACAAAATAATT